AGCCTGGCTCTGGACCACATAGGCCTTCCTGTCTTTACAGAGGTACATATACCTGCACAGGAAGCCTCAGAAGCTTCTGGGCACCCAGAGACAAGCCCTCAGCATCTATGATATAGGCAGCAGCCTAGCAGCACCTGCCATCCAACCTGCCATTTACTTTCCTGAACCCTTCTCCCCAGGCAAGAGCAGCCCCTCGGCTCTTCCCTCCGCAGCCCCTTTCAGCCTAGCACCAAGCCTCACTGCCTATTCCCCCAGGGAAGCTGTGTCTTTCCTCAGAGGCCACCTCTGCACACAGCCACTTGCCTCCTGACAGTCCCACCTGATGCTGTGAAAGGTGGGCAATGGTGCCAGTTGTGGCCCCAATCAACAATGTCCAACTACTTTGGCTCTGTTCTGGCAGAGATCAGACTTCCATCTGTACAACAGGGCTGCAGTCATAGGGGCTTTCAACTGGGGTACATGCCTCAGTCTAGGAGCTTTGATCTCCTGCTGCCTCAGCCCTGTGGGCAGGGATTTTTCACAGCATAGGTAGAGTGACAGGAAAGGGCTGGGTGGGAAGTTTTCCTTTTCTATGGACACTAATTCAGTCAGTGTGTGCAATGGTGGGATGGGATTTGTATCAAGTTCATTTCTCCCTCATTCATCCCTATATCCAACCACGCTACTTGGCCTGCTACAGGCCATGTTTGTGGGACTGCAGAGGACCAGATGGCTGTGGGGCAGGCTTGTGAACTCTGGAACCAAGGGTCCCATTTATCTATGTCCCTCAGCACTCATCCAGCTCTGCCGCTGGCCCTTTACATACTCTATGAAGGCTCAGTCACCTGCCTCAGGCCCAGCCTGAGAAGCTTCCCTCCCAAGAGTATCTTTCATCCTAGTCTTACTCTCCTGTGCCCTTCCCAGATGAGAGAAATACCCCACACCATGGCAGGGGGAGCCCAGCTTCCTGCCCCTCCCGCGTGTCCTGTAGCATTCTACAGAGGCCCTGTACAAAGACGTAAAGATGTGTAAGCCTCCCATGTCCTGTGGCAAAGGCCAGGGATCTCCCTGACCCCCACAACACCCAGCACTGACTGGACTAGGAGAAAGTGCTTGGAAACCATCTACTGATGGAAAAGAGATGAATGGAATCAATCTGGGAACACTTAGTGAGCACTTCCTCTGGACCAGGTTGGGCCAGACCAGGAGGCTCAAAGAATGCATAGCAACACACACAAGGATGCTTGTGAGAACCAACGCTGGGCCCAAACGTGTGCCCGACTAAGGAGATGGCAGCAGTCACAAAGTGCAAGTGGCTTGTGCTTCTCACACGGAAACTCCAAGATTTAGTGTTGGTGAAAAAGCAAGCTACTGAATGGCACACACACTATGACATGCTCACATCTATACACATACACATATTTTAAAAAACAGAATAGGGCTAGAGATTTGGCTCAGTGACACCACACCTGCCTCGCAAGCACAAAGTCCTGAGTTCAATCCTTGGTACTGCAAAAGTAAATAAACAAACAAATTAATTTAAAAAAACAAAACAGAATAGCCAGACTGCTCACAGAAGTGCCTCTGAGAAAGGCACAGTGCTTGGGATGGGAACAAGGAAGTATAGGCTCTGGTATGTGACAAAACTGTGGGCAGTGACAATGTGGTCCTATGTGACTCTCACAAGTTTTAAAAGCTGTTAATTAAAAAACTAACAGGAAGGTCCTCCACCTGTGCCCTGAGGACGAGGAAGCTACGCGCTGGGTGCCTAAACACCCAGTCTGGGTAGCATGGATGGTCCAGAGCAGTAGACCTGGAGGGATGGCAAGTCAGGGCACCTGGTCACTCTGCCTTATCCTTCAGGCACATCCTTCTGTGAGCCAGCCCTAACCCTTTACTTTTGCTTCCCTGGACAAGGAAGTAGACCTCAAGGCACACAGGAAGGAAAGGGAGCAAATCTGCTGACTGATCAACAACCACAGCTGTCAGAGACATGGCCTCATCCCAGCAGTCAACTAAGGGCTGCCTTAGATGTTCCTCCATCAGTATGTTAGTAAACAGTTTCCTCACGCCTGGTAAAGGATGCTAGACAGACTTGTGTGCTGAGAGCACTCACGGTCTGCCAGTACTTCATGTCAAGCATGGCTCAAGGAGGCCAAGGAGCCCAAGAAAGCAGAAAAGGCTAGAAGGGAGCCCCAGAGTGGTAAAAGTAGTAGGTTCCTGGAACTGGTTGACTACAAAGAGGCAAAAATGCTCAAAACACCAGTCCAGGCTTCTGCAGAGGCTTCTGGCTAAGAGGGAGGTGTTGCTCATGTGTCAGACCCGTGGAGGGCCTTCCAGTCCTTCCCTCCTCCCAGACACACCCCAGATTGCCTTTTCATAGGATTCGTTTTCTGCAAGGTCTCAGAAATCACAGGCGCTACAAGAAGTAAGCCCAGTGGCAAAGGGGCCTAGAGCCCCTGGTCCCAGTTCAGATCTGCTCCATGGGAGCAGACACCCGAGGGACTGGCTTCCTAACTTCACCATTTGACAGGCTGAGTACCTCACTCGTGAGGCAGACATGGTGGCTTGGTCCTTCTTTCCAATGCCTATACTGTCTTTAAGGGTAAAATATCAACAACAAGGGAAGAAGGGAGGGAATGAGGGAAACTATCTTCTTGGGAACCTGCCATGTGCCAGAAACTGGGATTAGGGATACTACTCCATTATCTAATTTGGTTCCTACAGTTATTCTTAATAGCAGGTAACAGAACTCCTCCCCCTTTTTTTTTTAGAAATCCATTTTACAAGATGCATAACCGAAGAGCTCAGGGAAATTAAGCAACTTGCTTGGTTCTAACTTTGGCCTATCAACTGCAGAAATATAGGTTTGCAAAAGGTTCCACTTCATTAATATATAGAGAGTTCTTATAAATCATTAAGAACCAATAATTCTGTGGAAAAGTGAATATGAGTCAAAACTGCACAGAAGTTAAAACTGCTAACATGATATCATGGACACTCTCAACTCAATGAATGCAATAAATAGATTTTCATCTACTAGAAAGAAAATGTTAGCTGGGCTTGGTGGCACATGCTCATAATTCAGCTACTTCAGAGGCTTAGGTTGAAGGATGGCAAGTTACAGACCAACCTAGACAACTCAGACCTGCTCTTAAAAAGAAAATAAAAAGGGCTGGGGATGTAGTTCATCAGTAGAGGGCTTGCCTAGCATGCATGAAGGCAATGAGTTCAATCCTCAGTACTGAAAAAAAAAAACAAAAAATTCAGGGCTGGGGATTTAGTTCAATGGTGACGTCACCTGCCTCACAAGTGCAAGGACCCGAGTTCAATCCCCAGTACCCACCCCCCAAAATTCAATAACACAGAGTGTTGACGAATATGGGGGGGGGGGAAA